GTTTGTTTTAAAAGGTGGTTGCCAGGGGAGGAAACCCCAAACCCGGAGGGCAAACAAGCCCGGGGGGGGGGGGGGGGTGGAATGAGTCATGCCCTGCAGTCCCCCCAAGAAAGAACCGCTGATCAGGCCTGCCTGCAGTTCATCCTCGACACGTACCACTAGACAGCGGGGAGCACGTGGTACCAAGAGAAAGGCACTAGAGAAGTGATAGGAAGTGGATACGGACTGATCGATTTTCCCACCCGCCCGCCCCTGTCGCTCTATAGAGGGGGGGAATCAGGTTACACAAAATCGGTCGGTCGCAATTAGCGTCCGCAAAAGAAAACTACTTGTTTTTTTGCCATTTTGGTTTGTCGAACATTATTGTGGTCGTGTGTTGGGGCGAGGGTCGGGTAGCCCCACAGGGGCGGAGGCTGTACGGGTTGGATGAGTAATAAATTCGCGAGAATGAGGCGGCGACATAAAAGGTTGTGCAAAGGGTGAGGGACTGTTGTTCTTTCGTCTGTCGATGTTCCACACGGCATCATTATCCCGAATTATTCATTCAGAATAGGTGTTAAGATTAGAAGAAAAACAACGGCAATTCTTGAGCAAAAAAAAAACTCTGATGCCCAGCAATGGAGTCTCAGTTTCACGAGGGGGTAGGGAGGGGGTGATACCAGTAATCATCCACGGGGCATCCACCTGCAGCCTCGTCGGGAGGGGCCCCGTGCTTCTCCATCGCCTTGAATAGCCACTGCACCACGCCCATCCCGGCACTGCCGGCCCCGCACACCACGAACCTGTTTTAAATCGCACAATCACGTAAAAAAGAAAGAAAGACAACACCGCAAGAGTGAAAACCATGCCTCAAGAGAATCGCAGAGCAACGAAGAGAGAAAAAAAGAAAAGTGTGGTAGGACGACACGATGAAACATGGCGAGAATTGGGGGCCTCCCAACGAACGACCGTCGGTCCATGTCTAGGCCTGAGTGCGCGAATTAGCCTGCCCTGTCTACTTGCCTCGCTGCACGACACGCCTCCGAAACAGCGGCCTAGACGTGTCACAACAACATGACAACATGTGTCTTGCAAGTTTTGGCCGCGAGCACACTCACTCTCTCTGGGACAAAAAAATGAGAGCACGAACGGTAACGGTTGACCGACGGCCCACTCTTCTCCCCCGAATGGCCCACCGACAAAAGAAAACGAACCGAGCTTCGACCATAGGTTGGCCGAGGAACAACTTTCACGAGGGAGCTTGGGGGGGCACTTAAGTTTCGCATGCCTTAGCGCTTAGACCGTTTACCACATATCCTCGAGAGGACGGCAACATGGGAAACGGGCTTTCGACCTGAGTTGGCGGATGTCGTTGTGGGACCGACCGGTGGCCGCCAGTCCCGCGTAGATTCCGGCGAGGGCGGTGGCAGCAGTTCCCTGATCAAACCAAATCGCGGGGCGAGACGATGAACACGACGACAACCAATCAGCCGACCGAGCAACCAAGTGGACAAGAAAAACACACATGCACATCAGGAGGCCCCCGGCAAAACCACCAAGAGAGGTCCTGCAAAATGACAAGGACGGGGGGGGGGGGGTGTACTCATAGTCGTGCATGCCGTAGTCGTTCGACCATTGACCTCGCATCCCTACAAAGCCGGGAAGGAGCACGCCGGGTTCTCACCGGACCAGGCTCTCACATCACCAAGCGCGAAGCGCCGTGAGGTATTTGGCGAGTGGCATGAAGGGTGAGCTGCATCCTGCTAAGGGTGTTCGGCATCTTGTGCTTACTTCCTTGCGTACGGATGACAGCTACGTATGACTTAATTTATTTTCTGGTGCTTTCACTTCCAGAGACAGTTGTAAGCATTGTGTAACTGCCTCGAGGAAGCTTGACCATTTTAACACAACGTGGTGCGATCATCCCCCGTTGGGCGGAGTGAGGTTTCTCGACCCCGCACAACATGATCTACTCGACCACCATTACGGTTACCGCCAAAAAAAAAAACAGGAAAAAAAAAAAACGGTAACCTGGTTGCCGAGTTCACGAAGTGAATTGGCTTGTTTTACAACGTCGTTGCCAAGCGACGAACACCCAATCCCGATGGCAAACACCGAGTGGGGGGCTTGTTTTACAACGTCGTTGCCAAGCGACGAAAACCCAAACCCCGATGGCAAACACCGGGGGGGGCGGCTTGTTTTACAACGTCGTTGCCAAGCGACAAACACCCAATCCCGATGGCAAACACCGAGTGGGGGGCTTGTTTTACAACGTCGTTGCCAAGCGACGAAAACCCAAACCCCGATGGCAAACACCGGGGGGGGCGGCTTGTTTTACAACGTCGTTGCCAAGCGACGAAAACCCAACCCCGATGGCAAACACCGGGGGGAGGACGGGGGGGGGGGGGGGGGGACCCAAAATCCTGTCGTGCATGCCGTAATCGTTAGACCATTGACCTCGCATCCCTACAAAGCCGGGACGGAGCACGCCGGGTTCTCACCGGACCAGGCTCTCACATCACCAAGCGCGAAGCACCGTGAGGTATTCGGCGAGTCGCATGAAGGGTGTGCTGCATCCTGCTGAGGGTGTTCGGCATCTTGTGCTTACTTCCTTGCGTATGACTAAATTTATATTCTGGTGCTTGCACTTCCAGAGACAGTTATAAGCACTGTGTAGCTGCCTCGAGGATGCTTGACCATTTCAACACAACGTGGTGCGATCATCCCCCTTGCGCGGAGTGAGGGTTCTCCACCCCGCACAACATGATCTACTCGACCACCATTAATGACACATTAATGACAAGGAGGGGGGCCCGCAAAATCACAAGGAAGGGTGTCGCCAAACGACAAGGAGGGTCCCCGAAAATATAAAGGCGGGGTGTCCCGCGGGAAACGGTCTCTCGATTTGGAGAAAAGATGGCTTCGGACTGCTCGAGCTCTTCTGTGTAGTATGTTCTCCTCGTCTCGCCCATGAGGGTTCTGCAGCAGTGTGGTCTTGGCTGGTGTGTGCTGTGTGCTGTCGGCGTCCGGTCGGATACAGGTGTAGCGGTACCTACCTCTTTTTCGTCGCTGTTCTCAACCCTTACACTACCTCTTCGCGCTCGTGCGTTTTGCCATCGTATCGTGTAGCACCGTCGCATACTCACACTACAGACCATCACACCGCCGCTGCGACCAACAGCAACAACGGGAAGAGAACCGAACCTGTATGTCGTCGTTGAAGCAGAGGTGCTTGTAGCGGTAGCGCTCGAGGAGCTTGCTGGCATACTCCGTGCGGAAGTCTTCAAACTGGGCAAAGAAGAAAGCAGCAATAAAGAGACGAAAACGCGGCGCGTGACAGACATGGGGTAGGCCAAGGTGTCAACGAGAACGACCAGACCTGTTCGCACAACAACACCTATCATCACCATATCATGGATGGACTGCAGAACAACAGCACCGACAACGCGCATCATCGATTGACTGCAGAACAACCACACCGGCAACATGTGGCAACAGGTAGCAAGCATCAGATGTAATATGTTATGCGAACAACGAAAACAGTACCCACAATACGCTAGTGTACAACGGCAACATTCGACAAGTAACAACAACAATACAATATAACGGCAATGTACAGCAGCAGCAGCAGCAGCGGCGGCAGCAACAGCAACATTTTACCTGAATATCATGGATGGACTGCAGAACAACCACACCGGCAACATGTGGCAACAGCTAGCAAGCACTAGAAGACGAAAACAGTAGCAACAGCTACACCATATCGTGGACAAAAACAACAGCAACATTCCACGACAACAACAACAACAAAACAACATGACGCAACAACGTGCACCAGCAGCAGCAGCAGCAGCAGAAGTAGAAGCATCGACAGCAACAGCAGCAAGCAGTAACATATAATTTTACCTGAATCAAGGCCTTGGGCCACCTGGCCTTGACCGCGGCAACGAACTCGTCCACCACGTGGAGGTACTCGTCTCCCTCTAGCCTCTCCTGGTTCAGACCGAGGTAGCTGCACAGAAAAAGAGACAAAGAGACACGGGTACAGACCGACACAGGGAAGCAACAGCACCAAAATCAACAGCAACAGCAAATAAGCATCAAACAACAACAAGCAGCTGCAACAAGCAGCAGTAGCAGCAGCACGACCACCACCACCAACAGCCATGAAAATTGATGCAGGTTTCGAGTGCGTCATGAGTACGTACCGATGAATATTGATTCGGTGGGGAGGTGAAATGACAGGAGACACGCAGATCGGAATGCATTGCTTACCCCATTGAGAGTGCACACCTACGGTACTACTGAAACCGGGGGCCGGACTTTCTGTTGGGTCCCTCCCCGCCCCCTTCAGGGAAAGCCCGCGGAGTAGAAACGATTTGCACATTCTACCCATCAGCTACGAGCGCATGTGATCGCTTTGGTTGGAACGCGGTCACCAAACTGACGAGGTTTCATTTCATCAAAAGGTCAGCCGGCCACCACGGTCGAAACCAAATCTAGGATACGCAAGTACGGCCGCACTACGAGGGGACGAAAATTCTCCTCCGCGAGACCCCGCACCGCGCTGTGGCTGTTCGGGAGAGAAGCCAAGACCGTTCGGTACGGTAGACAGAATCATACACAGTGGGAGCGATGGTGACAGAGAAAGCGCAAACCTACCGTTCGGTTGCGCTCATGCTTACGCTTTCGCCTGCCGTTACTCTTACGCATTCGCTGACGCTTAACGCTTAAGCCCAACGCTCAAGCTTAGGCTTAGGCATATACGCCTACGGTTACGCATTCGTCTACGCTTAACGCTTAACGCCGCTTTACACTCGACGCTTGTGCTTAACGCTTACGCTTAGGCTTCGGCTTCGGCTTCGGCAATAGCTTACGCTCAGTCGTTACCTCTTGTCCGCCCGTAGCTTCTTGTTGTTGGTCCCGACGTCGATGACGCAGGGGAGCACGCGGGCCGGGTGGAAGCCCGCGGCCGCCACGTAGAGGTCTAGCTTTCCGATGGAGATGCCCATGCCGTTCATGCCCAGGTCTCCGAGCCCGAGTATCCTCGAACCGTCCGTGACGACGATGGCGTCCACCTGCATGGGAACAGGTGGTGGCCGGCCAGCCGCGTCCGATGAGCGTTTGTTGTTGGTGTTGGTGTTGGTGGTGGTGGAGGCGTTGTGGTTGTGTTTGTTGTTCTTGATGTTGTTGTTGTTGGCGTTGGTGATGTTGTTGTTGGTGTTGTTGAAGGTAGTCGTGCTGGTGGAGGTGTCGGTTGTTGCTGATGTGTGTGGCGGTGGTGGTGATCGCGGCTACTGTTTAGTGTTAGGCAAGCCGATGCTGCTAAACCCGAAATACACGGCAACACCGTCTACCAACAACCACACCCAACCAACGACAAATAACTCCAACCCTTCTGCAACAGCAACACCATCCAGCAACAACCCCAACGACCAAGGACTAACAACCCTTGCGGCAACCCTACTACAATCAATGCATCATCACCTCGTGGCTGGGCCAGTTGTAGGCGATGGAAACCATGTGCCCGCGGTCCTTGGCCGAGAAGTACATACCCCTCGCGATACGGAACATGCGTGAGAAGTTCAGGCAGGCCCACCCTACCGTTGGGGTGTACACCACCGAGGCCATCTCCGCGAAGTTGTCCATGACCACACGGTAGAACAACTACGTACACGGAGACGACGCATGAACAGGCACGCGGGGGTGACGGGGTTGGACCGATTGGGGGGGGGGGGGGGTCCGGGACATGCGAGAGAACTTCAGGCAGCCAGCCCCAGCCGACTGTCGGTGCGTGTTCCACAGCAGCCATCTCGGCGAAGTTGTCCATAAGCACACGGAAGAACAACTACATACAAGCAGACGACACATGAACAGGAGGGTGGGGGTGACGGGGTTGAAGAGGTGGGGGTGTGTGTGGCTGCACATGTACAAAAAAGACCCGCGGGTGGGTGGGTGGGGGTAGGGGTGCCGTTTTCTGTTGTTTGTGCGGTGTGTGCACGGAGGGAGCCTCTGAAAACCAAAACTCCGTTCCTTATTCGTTCGCACCACACAACGACAACGAGACGAAACAGACTTTGAAGAGGCCAACCAACGCAAAAAAACACACCAAAAACAACAAGGACAGGGGCGGCGGCACATGAGAGCGGGGAGGCATCGGACAACAGCCTGCTGCTGCGGTGATCGTACACACAGAAGCACGTCTGCTACAGCTTGATGCGGGCTTGCCTTCCACTTCTGAACCGACTAATCGGGGCCACAACAAATACCTGCTGCAAAGACTGCCACATAACCCCTGCTACCGATGTGGTACTACCTCAACCGGTTGTCTTTCAGCGAATGATTGCATAGGCAGAATCGGCGGCGATGACAGGTAATGGATTCGTCTTGCGCTGGTCCTCATGGGGCTGCCAAATCACGTCCAACCAAGAAACGTAAACCCTTGTTGGACGCGAAGAGACAATCTCGTGGGGACCACCAGTGCAAATACAAGCATTGGCACAACGAACGCATTGCTGGTCATGGACGCCGATTCTGGCACTTTGGAAAAAGAAAACAAAAAAACGAAACTGTCACCAGCACCGGTTCGCGCGAGCACACACAAGATAAAAAACAGCCCTGTTAGGTTTGTACTCAGCACTATACACGAATCTACGGAGATCTAGGGGGTTTCGTGCATCACGTTGAAATGTATTTGTAGAAGGGCGATCCCCCTTCTGCCTAGCGCGCCCTGCTCACTAGTCAAAAACCAAGGTCATGAGTCAACCTATAAATCCGCAAGCGTCTCACGACAATAAGCACCCTTAACAAACCCACCGTTTCGTTTTGCCCCTGGATGCCCTTGAGATACTCCTATTTCCGGATGTTGTCCGGCGTGAGACCGGCCTGCACCATCTCGCCGTTGGGGTCCCGTGCCGCCTTGTCCCACGACCCCTCCCTGTTTTGTAAGCGTTCGGAAGGAGAGGTCAGGCAGCAGCAGCGGCACCATCATCATCATCACTACCTCGGACAGGAGGTTTACTCCGGCTTGTGCGCTTGGCTCTTTGTCGCTCAATCCCTGTGATATCTACCACCGCAGACCAGTAATTTTTTCAACGTTTTACAATCATTCCGCGGCGGTGGCACCAATGCCAAAAAACGCGCTAAACATTTGAGGAAAACCGTGGTAAACCCGCACCGTCTGGTGTTGGGACACACTCTCCAGCCTACCACAGGTGTGGGTTTTCGTTCACCGGTACTCCTCGAGAACCTTGGCAGTCTGCCCGTGTGCAAGGATCACCGATGCGGCGAAGAGCAACGCGTCCGCAGCCCGGCAAGGGGGGATCGGCAGAAGGGTAGAGCGGGGGAAGGGGTAGGCGGGTCGGGCCGGGAGTTGCTGCATGCACCCACGATACACATGCTCTCATGGCCATCCTATTTTGCTAAACTGGGCCGCTGCCCACACCTCGTCATTGAACCCGCCGACTCGCGTCTGGCACTACTCAAGCCGCCATGCTACGGGTCTGTGGCGTGCTGTACTGCCGCCGCCTAGTGTCCTTGTCTGCCTCCCCCGCGGGCGGTTCCCTCGACCGTACATGAAATTATGTCTCTATAATTGCTAAATAGTGGTGTACCGTATGAAGTACTATGCAAGAAAACATACCCGGTGATTACAGTTTGGCTTCAAAAGAAAACAATCATTTCATTCGGTGTGCCTAATTTGTGTGGGGGGTGTCGCCTCTAGTTTTCGCCCTATCATGGTTTGGGCTCATGTCGACCCGTGAAAATATTGCCATCGGGTGCGGCATTGTGTGTGGGGCGTTGCATCTTTATGGGGGGGTGTTATCTTCGTATTCTATGGTAGTACTCTGTAGCACCGACGGGTATTTTCTTGCCCTTCTCTCTTGCGGGCGGTTCCTACTCTCATAGAGGAAATATATATAGAGTAGGAATACTCTGGCAATCTTGCCGTGTGCTTGTCTGCTCTTCCATGGTGACCATGCGGGCGGGCAGGAGTCCCCTGAGGTGGAAGCGCTCCCACTCCGACCACAAGAACGCCGTGCCCTTGTTCACGAGCGGGTCTAACAGCACAGGCTTCCCCAGATCGCGCACGAATGTCGGCAGCTCCTGTTTCGAGCAAAAATACGGGTTATGGAAGTGACGAGAAAAAATTTACAACAAAACAACATACCATTGTTTTCGCGAGTATCCTCTGCTGGATGACGGGTGGGGTTCTACCAATCTTATGCATACCAGGTGGCAGTCTTCAGGCCATAAGACCCTGGAATCATGACAACGCTGTGGCGGATCACGCCGGATAGTCGGCAACCAGGCTGGGCAGACGGGGGGCACCTGTCATCTCTACCCCGCGATTCCTAAAGCTTGGCCGTACACAGCAAACACAAGCACACGCGGTACGCTCACCTGGCGACGGTCAGGGACCCCCAGGTGGTATCTCCACCGCACTTCTCCGCCGCCTTCCCCGGCCTCCGCGGAACTCCCGGCCGCACCCCTCTGCGTATGCGTGCGGGCACCAGAGAGACGGGCGCCGACAACACCACGAAGACCGTTCCAGGTGTCAAGAAGAGAGTCACGTACACGACGAAACTGTTTTTGGCTGTATGCGTCCAGAAGGCGCTACACTACTTAAGAACCTGTGTTATTTTTCCAAGGCTCGTTCTCTTCTTTCCTCTGGCATGGCGAATATCCCAACAGGATTCTAATGATCCGAGCACCCGTTCTTGTTGCCAAGACAACGTTCTGTTTTCTGCCAGCCTCAAGTTCTTGACTCCCACCAGGCTCACAACGTAGAGGTGGATCTGTAGAGGAGTTGTGGGCGTAGCGCTAACAACGTTAGCTGCAGAGATGTGGTTCCCCGTCGCACCCGCAGGAAAAACACAAACGGACCCGTACAGAACCCGCACTTCTCTTGAGCAAGGCTAGAAGGATAATTACCAACCCTCACTGAGAAGTGGTGTACGGTGGTGGTGGTTGATTTCAGCAAAAACCGCGGCAACAACAGCTATAATAACCCTCGAGACAAGAGAGAGACTGTGTACACTATGCTGTTGTTGCAAATACAAAAGTACTGGCAACTGTGTTTGTTTGTAGCGGAACGCAGATGTCGTACTACAAATATAAATACAGCATTTTCTATTTTAGTACCGCTGCCGGCATCAACCACACCACAGCGTTGTCGCTGTACACACTCCGGGTCCGTCTCCATGTTAGATGCTGTAGGCTACATGATGTAGTCTGTGGACATATGCATACACGTAATCATGGGCTTTCTATACGCTTGGCTTCGTCGGATACACCGGCCTCACCAGCCGGGGAAAAATCGCCAGGGAATAACCTGCAAGCTACCCGGTGGTCCTGTAGTACACGACATTCAGTCAACCATTTGCTGGGACTCAATTCCGTAACGTTGCAATTTGTCGAGCCTACATGCACCTAACCTCTCTGTCTACTGCTTGCATGAAGTGTGTGATTGAGTCACGCACCTTTAGTGCAGACCCCTACCCATTCAATCGGAGCCGCATCCAAACGGCCGGCCTACAGCAGCAGTAAAGGCACCGGGGTGGGAGCCGAAGAACAGCGAGCTTCTGTGTCTTTCGCAAAGGATTTGCACTCGCTATCTCTGCCGACAAAGGGGGCATCATACCCGGCAGGCACTCTCTCTCTGTCTCTCTCGCGATGATCCGGCGGGTGTTGCTGCAGCAGCATGCCGAATTTCCCACGACAGTAAGGCGGGAAGTTCGCCGGGTGCTAGGCGCTACAGCAGCATCTGCTGGAGGCGAAAAGGTGTCTGCGTGTGTCTGTGTTCCTTAGTAGCATCGACCGCGCTAACCGGCTGACCAATGAAAAGACGTCAGTCTCAGTGTGGTTGAAAACACAAAATGGTTCTAAAGGCCACCATCTGGGATCCTGTGACAGAGCATCATGGGGGAGACTACGCTATTCTCTGGGTTAAATGCAGATGCCGTAGAAACATAACTGTTTCTGTGCTTGTAGTTCTTCCAAGTATATGTTAGTTTTTGTTTTTCTTGTCCATATAATCTATGCATATGAATATGACACAATAAAATGTACCCATCTCTAGACTACTCCATAGAAAAGAGCCTTATTAGATAGATTGTCAATGAATTCATGTACATAACGTCAGCGGAAATTACCTGTATTTCTACGGTTTCCCGAGCAGTACACAGCGATATCTCCCCTGTGGGTAACAGTCTCAACAAGACAGTTTGGTAGCCGTCCTGTGTACCTCTCTGTATGTTATGCTGGGAAGGTGTAGAAGGAAGGTGTTGGGATGATGTTGGTTTGTCGGGTGTGCTATTTGTGGCACCCTTCCTTGGAGAAACACAGAAGATGTGGGCACGTACGTATGAACACGGTACAACATTTCGCTCCCGGCGTCCGCGGGTTGATCCCTGACTGGCGGCGCGTGGTTGTGGCGTTACGGTTTCAGCATATACGTGTAGGCGAGCTTTTCATTGGCACTGGCTGGTGCTGCTGCTACTGCGGGTGGTATTGCACTTGCAGAACATTGCGATATTCTGGTTGAACAACTTCGCGAGACGCTTTCTTTTTTTTATTTGGCAGGAAGCCGAAGATAGGAATGTACCAAGGCCGTGGGATCGCCTGCAGTGCGTTTGTTGACAGCTGTGACGCTCGAGATGTGTCACCTGTTGCACGGAAAGGGGATGACTGCTTTGGTTCACGTTCACAAGCTGCCGCTTTGTCACCATTCGGCGGTCAAACTCATGTACCGACACTTTAGGGCTACCGCCGTTGGATATGGTACACACCAGATTGGGATTATGTATCTGATACATACACGCACCCTGTACAGTAGGCTCCGGTGATATCTACCGTGTTTACGGCTCAACACGAGCCCCAAAAACGCGAAGACGCTCTCGGAACGACGTGAAAAGATGACAGAAAATGCCACACACCCCCCAACAATGATCGTCACGTGAGGTGTGCTATCTTGCGTGCAAATACGCCGTTGGAACGGGAAGAGTTACAGTGTTGCTGAGATCGGCATGCCGAACTACTCTACCACTCAAAAAATGTGTTGCACCACCTGCACACCTTTGTGCACATTTACGATGTGTTGCGGCCGGGTATTCGTAGTATTCAACGTTCAAGTCGCGACGTATTGTCAGCTCGGATTCGATGTGCCCACTGATTGTTTGGTCCGAATGCAATCGTTTGCATAGCATGCCACCTCGGGAGACGTTGGTCGGTGTGAGTGGAAATGTGAGGTCGCGACAGGATCGCCCGAAACAGCAGCAACATTTCCACCGCCGGGCGGCCACGCCTGTTGCCTGATGTTCGTTGTTTGGAACGCACAACGTACCTAGAAGACTTTCGGCGACGAAATTGAGCCACGCAACCCTTAACCGCCGAAAACAGACCTCGAGAGAAAAATTCGGTGTCGTCTTGACTCTCAGTCCTAGATGTTAGCGTATTTGTGGCCTCCGTGCCTTCCCACCGTGGCTACCGCGCCCACCCACGATAGTACGAATCGAGTCTGGGGACAACGTTAACCCAGGATCGATGCAAATGACATTAAACCTTGATTATCAAGCAGTGCTACTTCCAGCACACACACGAACATCCAGAGACATAGACTGAACGCGTGCGCAGGCTATCTCTCGGGGGCCCCGCGCTTGGACCATATCCCCCCACACACATACTTTCCAGATATGATCTTGTATCCAAGTACCCCAAACATCCCCCTGCTTGATACAATATACGGTCTTGACGCCCTTCGTGAACAATCATCCAACCAACACAAAATCACAAATAACCACTTGAGAAATCCTCTTCAAAAACTGGTTACGCATTTAGCACAAAGCTTCTCCATCAGTTTATCCACAAATCCAATGCACTCGCCTCTGGAGGTAGTCTCAAACGGTCAACACAAATAATCATCCTCAAAGAGTACCCAACAAGAATCTGTGCTACATCAGAAAAGCGTCGGAACGGTGATGGATAAATCTGGTAAACAGCTACAAAAGAGTTGACACGAAATCCTCAAACCACACAAACTTTCAACTTCTTGACCTTCTTCACCAATCAATAGGAGCATTCTGAAAGCACGAAGGCCCCAACCCTTGCTCGCCAAAACATGTCAAACCCTTCCTCCAATATCATGTCTATGGGCCAAATCCTAAATAGCCCGCACATGCGAATCGGTGCCGCCTCTGTTGTCCAAGAAACGATAGAAAACATAAAACGTCATGCAAACAGCCCCCCTGCCGCAATATCTCCCGAAACTTACAAGCCTGTGCCTCTCTCCTCCCAAGGTTTTTGGCACGTAAAACAACAATAACAATACCAATATCAACACGCAACAGTCCCCCAGCCGGAACGTTTCCCGAAACATACATGTAGATCTGCCAGCGCTTTCTTCCTCTCCTTATCAATCAACAGAAGATCTCGAAACATCAAAGTGTACGAAACAGCCCCCCAGGTGAAACATGTCTCGCATACACAAGAAAAACATGTACGCATTCGCTGGTGCTGCGTCTAGAATCATGACAACGCATTCCCTCCCCCTGATTCTTGACGCAATACACAGCAGAACGAAGAAAACGCAGAGAACATCACAACGAAACAAATTCAACTTGAACAGAACTCCACGAAAGCACTCTGCTCTGCTGGTACTGCGGCTAGACACATGGCACAGAACTCCCCCGCGATGGTTTATGACAGAAGTACAAACAGCAGATTCTGTACGACAGTTATCATTGAATTCCGCATGCCACACAAAGTTCGGGTCCCAAAAGAAAAGCCAGTCAAAACGCGGGGAACAAAAATGCTTCCAATAAACAGGGATGCCGTACAAATCAACGCATCGTCTCTCGGAGGCGATTCCCCGATGAATTTCTCGTCTTCTGCGCAACGGAAAGGGTGTGCTCGACAGGTAACAAGAAAGAGGACAGAACCAAATGTGAAGTTAACACGCCGATGTCCCAAAACCGAAACAAAGTCGTTAGTATTTCACATGGTCTCCAACTTGGCTGAAACAAGGTGAGGTCGTCGCTGCCACCGTTTCGTCCCCCTGCTCGGTCGACTCGAGGGTGCCCACCGGAGCCAAATACTTGTTTTCCGCTTCGCTGCGACTCCCCACATCGCGCTGTGCCCGCCCCGCGTTAGCCCCCGCGTACGGCCCGTCGGGTAGTGGGGGCTCATGCGGGGAAGGCTGAGCGAGCGAAGCGGCGATACCCTCTGCATTGAAAGAAGCGCAAGCGCGCCCGGCATCCCTCGAGCTGCTCTACCGGCGACCGCCTGCCGCGCCCGCACCCTAGTGACCGCTGGTGTGACCTTGTAGCGGTCCTGCTGCTGCTGAAGGTGTGGGACGGTGGGGGGACGGGGAAAACGGGCGGGGGGCGGGGGGGGCTGGAGGAAAAATAGACAAGGGTTGTCTCTCCCCCCGCTCGCGTGCCCTCACATCCCCGCTGGTGCTGGTATCGTCGCATCCGCAGCCGCTCGCGCTGACGTCGCCGCTGTTACTTGCGCCACGCCCTCCGACGGGGCTCTGGCCGAAGCCGCCGCTACCGTCCCCGCTCCTGCTGGTGCCATTTCTGCCGACGGGGCTCTCGCCGAAGCCGCCGCTGTCATTACTACCGCTCCCGCCGTCGCAGCTTTGGCCGAAGCCGCCGCCGCTGACGCTCCTGCTGCCGCTGCTGCTGCCGCCGTTGCTGCTGCCGACGGAGCTCTGGCCGGAGCCGCCACTCCCGTCGCCGCTCCTGCTGCCGTCGCTGTCGCTGACGTGGCCGCTCGGTGCGAAGTATCACCCCCGGGCATGTGCAAGTGCATCTCTACCTCGATCAACGGGAGGTCCACTCCCAGCACGACCCCACTGGTCGCTCTCCTCCACCGGGACCGCCTCCCTCTGTCAAAGGGATGTGTTAGAGTGCCATCTCCGCCGCCGCCGCCGCCGCCGCTGTTGCCGCGGCCACCGCTGCTCCGCTCGTCCTTCTCACCACCATTGTTGTGGTCTCCCTTCTCACGCACTTCCTGCGTAAATATTCCTCCCGGGTCAAAAGGGTACGACGCGCCCCTCTCGAACCGCAGATGCCGTCGTCTCCACCGCTCCTGCAAGTCCGACCGCCGCCACCGCCGCCCACTGCCAGCGCATGCAAGCCCCCCGTGCCCAAGCATCGGAAGTGGCTCCACCTCTTCACGCCGCTGCTGTCGACTCTCCTCCTGCTTACGACAGGCTCCTCCGAGACCAACACTGCTGCTTCCGTCGCTCTTGCCGCTGCCTCCGACTGGTGTCACACACAACCGCCGCCGCCGGTGCCGACGCCATTCCACAGCCTCCAACCGCTGTAGACGGGGCCGCAGGACGGGTCTCATCGACAGGGCCTGCTGTTGTTGATGGCGCCGGCGATGCTGCTGGTTGCTGCTTCTGCAACGGCTGCTGGGGTTGTCGCGATTCCGCGGACAACGAAAATACAACAACGCGGTACGGTCCGAGAGTCTGCGCTTTTCTACACCTCTACCGTACCCGGCCTCCATGAGATGCAGTTCTTCGTGTTTCCGCCCTACTGCAGGTGCTACACGTGGTGTTGTGGGTCGCGGGGGAGAATGAGTGGCGGGGTGTATAAATGCGTTGAGAGACGCTACGTTGGCGGGGGCTGTTGCCGACAAAGACGCTTCAAACGAAGCGGTAACAGCCCCCCACCCCCCTGTTCTCACCAACAAACACCCCACCACTCACCTGTCCAACCACATCCCTGGTGAAGCCGACCGCTTTTTTTTTTTTAATAGTATGGTAGTACCAGTGCGGGTAGAGAACAACTAAAGCAACTCCGGTGTGCTTGATACCTGAGTTATTGTAGTTGCACGTGCAGTGTTGTTGCGTGCAGTATTGTTGCAATGGCGTGAAGGGTTAGAATACAGCAGACGAGTTTTTTTACAGGCGGGACTCTTCGGACCACATCGGATGCCACAGCAGACTACTTTGTACGAGACTTGCCGCAGGAAGGGGCGGCCAGCAGGGGCAGCAAGCGCAACACAGTTTATGAATGAAGTGATTGACGGAGGCAGTAGATAGCCTTTCTTGCACAGCGTGTGCTCGGAAGTTGAGCCCTCTGCCTGTTCTCTCGCAAAACGAGAAAGAATAAGCAAACCGGAGTACGCATATATAGTGCTGTACAGCGTATGTATGCATATTAGAAAAAATAAGAGCAGTGGCCAAAATCGGGTACACCCGGTCCAAACACGGTCATAATCGGGTACCCCTACAATAAGGGGGTGAACCTCTTTCTCTCTGGCCCGTGATGCTGACTCCTAGTCTCAGTTGTTACCTCGCATAGCGTGCAGAGGGAGCGGAGGACTCCAGAATATCTGTCGTTGATTTCTATTTACTTGCGGACCCCTCGGGGCCAGCTTGTTTGAGCGTACCTTTTTAGGGTAAGTTAGCCTGTGACCACGGGAATCGACCGCGTCAAGTGTTGGATCAGTACGGACATATGAAGGTACTGGGTAGAGAGAGATCGGAACGCTTTTTTATGTGAAGACAACAGCAACAACAAAACGCTGCTGGGAGCGACCCCAAGACACCATTGAATTGGCCGACGCCCACTCCTACCCGACCTTGACCGTCTTTCCACCGGGTGCACTGAACAAAAAAAGCTGAAAGTATGCTGCGTGCATCCAATCTCACCTGACCTCGTCCGTGCCTCTGCTGCTTGCTGTACTGCTGTAGTCGGGAAGGTCATCCATGTTCACTACTGCCGTCGGGAAGGCCATCCTTGTGCTTACCACGGCGTAGTACATCGCCACTCCGTCAGGGCCGCTCAATCTGTTGCGGCGCATCAGAGAGTGATGGTATGGGTTGGGATGGTCCGGGTTTACGATACGAAAGTGGTAGGGTGTGTGATCGGCCTGCCTCACCAAAAAGGGTTCTGTGATTGGCAAGCGTTACCAAAAGTGAGCCATTCCCGAAAGGTGCTGTGGGCTGTGCGCAGTACTGGGCAGCTGGTGCTCTTTTGCTCATCTCGAGTATAGATTCGGATTCACGCATCACGCAGCCTCCCATCCTCCTCGTCATCAACCCGGAGTCTGACAGTCCCGGTGGTTCGTGTTTCGGTTCGGGTGGCACGGAGGAGATCTACGAATCTACGAATCTACGAATAAGTCGTCGAGTCATCTAAGAAAGAGACGCGTTTGTTTCTCAAAAACCGCCTGAAGCTTTTGGTACGAAACTTGCAGGAGGGGCGGATGGGGGCAGAACCACAACTTCTTCCACGTATAAGACGAAAAAAATTCTGTCCACACGTAATCTTGAAAAAATCAAACGAAGAACAACAAGCTATTTTTAGGAAACCCCGGAGATAAATCGCCACTTCTAAAACCAAGTGAAAATCGGCAATGCGGCGCAACTGGGGTCAGCTGAGTTAGGCTCAAGGTGGGGGTCAAAATCGGTTTGAGAATTCACGCCTCAGAGACTGTGGTACCTCACTACATACTCGTTTCTTGGATGTCAAGAAATAATCCGTCAGGCGTGACCGGCAAGAGTCACCCGTGCGGGTCGGGGCGGCGGGTCTGGTGTTTTAGTGCTGATCCGGTCATTCCAACGACCTCTGCCACCCGTGACCTACATAACCCGTTTGTCGTTGATCATAACACTATCGTAGGTCATGACACTAGGCATGGTGGGTGTTGCATCCATTCGGTGACCATTTGTGATGGGTGTATGCATTCGGGGTGCAATGTCGTACAGCAGTAGGTATGAGGCGATCAATTGAGCGGGTGATTTTGGCGAGAGCTTTCGAGCCTCCTTTGCTTTCTTTCTCCCTCCCTCTCTCTTTCCCTCCCCCCTCCTCTTTCTCCTACCCAACGAAGCTCCACCTGTGAATCCCTGTCCATTCCCCATTCGCGTTTTTTTTTTTAGCGACACGCAGGACAGGGTTTCGACAGGGTTTCCATTCCACAAGAGTACCGTAAAACCTCAAATGGTAGATGACCTTATCTACATTAAGGTCATGGACCATAGACCTCAAACCTTCCCATCCATGCCCCTAGTTTTGTCGAACGGGTGCACAACACGAAGAAGAAAGCGACACCTGCTACAGCCAACAGGCAGCTGCATCATAATTTCACTTTGTACACAACAACTAGGGGAACACGGTGCCCTTCCCGTCCTAGGAGTACACCGTTTGTCTCTGACAGCGGGCAGCATGCAGGGAAACATGGCTACTAACTTTTCAAGGGGCTACTAAAAGGCTACATATGGTACGGGAGCAAGAACGAACAATCGAAATATCTGACCTTCGCGGCAGCAGCACTGGAGTGGGAGCCAACAGGACAATAACAATAAACACCTCCCTCTCCACACAAACAGAGAATCAATACCCGCTTCGGGAATCTTGAAGACGACATCGATCTGAACCGAGGGGAACGACGGGAACAAGTAGAGCAGCAGCAACGATCCGGACCCAAAGCACATTGCAACCATCCCCACGAATCCGGAAAACGATTATTTCTTCATGTCCATATATTAAAAGTAGTAAAGTAACGGAAGAACTAAAATTAAACAAACGCGTGTTTCTCGTTCGATTGGAATGCACGTACGTGGCATGCACCCTAACCCTCTTGCACTCCGTCCGGGTCTATGCATACCACACGGTAACACGCCCACACACATATATCCCTCCCTCTCACAAACGACAATGCGATACCGAACGGTGACAGGCGTTTCTGTTTCGTCTTCTGGCATTTTCCCATTCTCGTTTTTGTACCCCACCTCGCTCCCCAGCGAAGCCAAACACGCAACCCCAACACACCCTCTTCTTCCAGACAACGACATTCGTACAAACCCCAACTAGTAGAACCGCATCCTTGGGCCGAGCCCCCCTCCGCCACACAGACCCCACCACCGGCGCGAGTACATACACAATACGTCTCCTTTCTGCGGCAAGCACGGACCTCTTGCGAGGGCTTCGCTTCACGCACTGCTACTGCTACTGCTCCTGCTCCTGCTGCCGGCCACCTCGCACACATGGCACTTTTCCTGCTTGGGCAGCGCAGGGCCCGGCAGTCATCTCACAAGACCAAGCATGCCCCTTGACCAACACATGTCTATGCCCACCGTCTTTTCACAGGTGTCGGTCGCAACAACAACAATGCAAATCCCCGCTACGGCATTCTTTCGGTATTCGCGCGGCTAGAGCCGCTTCGTTTCGCGGACAAGAAGAAGCAAAGGAATGCGTCATATCTCTTTCTCTCGGCATCGGCAACACATCGGAAAAAAAAAAGAAACGACCTTCGTATTAAAAAAAAAAAAAAAAAAAATGTGCCCCCGCCCCAATCGACCGGCAACATGACAACACGCGCTTCCAAAAAAAAAGAAACACATCGTATCATATTGCATACGTATATGCTCGTAAGAAACAATGGACATGAATGATACAGTCGCGGGGGAACGAACAAAAGGTAGCGTCGCCCACGCACAAACCGACCCCAACAATATCGACCTGGGGTTGGCGGAGCGGGGG